ACAGCATAAGACACAGGGAACACAAACATTAATTCTAGTTTAGCGCATGTGGTTGTTGGAAGGCAATTCTGAATGATTCTCTTGCATTTATGCATGTATTGTGAGTGAAGCACAGGCTGTCCTTTGTTCTGAACTTTCTTTTCAAGGATGCTTCTACAGCAAACAGCTTGGGGATGACACACTGGTGTCTCTCTTTGGAATAAAGGGCAGTTTTGCTTGTAATCCTGGAAGACACAGTGTCTCTTTACAGAGCAAAGGATAGGCACGCTTACTGTCTAGAATAATGATTTGTCCCTCAAGAACAAAAACCAGACATGTTTCCTACCCATTTTGAAAGATTTGGGTTTCCTGGACTCAACAATCCTCTCCCATAACGTAGTTCATTTTGTGTGCAGTAACGGGAAGCTGGCCCTCTTCGTTTCACCTGCGAGAACTGAGGCTCAGGGAAAATGTGCAAATAAGCTGAGACTCACAGACTGTGGTTGCTATGAGTATTAAACTTTCCTTTATCTCTAACTTTGGAGTCTTGTACCTTCTACCAGCATCTAGTCGTAGGCTGCCTTGCTAGTATGGTAAAATCTCAGTATTGATAGTTTTTTTTTAATATATTTAAAGTGTACAATGTAATGATTTGATACATGTATCTATTGTGAAAGGATTTCCAACAACAAGTTAATTGACACATCTAAACATCACATATTTCCCTCTTTTTTATTTTATGAGAACACTTAACTTCCATACTGGCTTAGCAAATGTCAATTATATAACACAGTATTATTATTTTTAATAAACTTTGTCAAATTGGTTTCTATACAGCACCCAGTGCTCATCCCCAAAAGTGCCCTCCTCCTCCATGCCCATCATCCACTTTCCCTTCTCCCGCACCCCCAACACCCTTCAGTTTGTGCTCACTTTCAACAATAGCCAAATTATGCAAAGAGCCTAAATGTCCATCAACTAATGAGTGGAAAAAGAAGATGTGGTTTATCTATACAATGGAATACTACTTGGCAATGAGAAAGAATGAAATCTGGCCATTTGCAGCAACGTGGATGGAACTGGAGGGTATTATGCTAAGTGAAATAAGTCAGTCAGAGAAAGACAGATACCATATGTTTTCATTCATATGTGGATCCTGAGACTTAACAGAGGACTATGGGGGAGGGGAAAGGGAAAAATAAAAAGGTTACAAAGAGGGAGGGAAGCAAACCATAAGAGACTCTCTTTTATTTTAATATAGTTTACTTTCAAGTTGGTTTCCATATAACACCCAGTGCTCATCCCAACAAGTGCCCTCCCTGTGTCCATCACCCATTTTCCCTTCTCTCCCACCCCCCATTAACCTTCAGTTCATTCTCAGTATTTAAGAGTCTGTCCCACATATGAATGAAAACATGGTATCTGTCTTTCTCTGCCTGACTTATTTCACATAGCCTAATACCCTTGAGTTCCATCCACGTTGCTATAAATGGCCAGATTTCATTCTTTCTCATTGCCATGTAGTATTCCATTGTATAGATAAACCACAATATAAAAGATTCTTAAATACTGAGAATAAACTCTGTCTTGACAGTTCTTGACAGCAGGTGGTTGCAAAAATGGCAATAAAGTTATTCCCTTTCTGCATCTATGCCCTTTGGTATACACTCTCTTTACATTGACTCTGGGCTTAGCCATGGGACTTTCTTGGCCAATGGGACATCAGAAAACATGACACAAAGAGAAAACTGAAAAGTTCCTATACATTGAGACTTACCCTCTTGCCGATTTTAGACCTTAGTTGTCATGTGAAAAAGCCCAGGCTAGCCTGTTTGTGAGAAATACATGTCCAGTGTTCCCTATAACCCCAGTCAAGAGCCTCACAATCACCAGACCTGTGAACAAGGCCAATTTAGGTCATCCAGCCTCCAGCCAACAATCCAGTTAACTGCTGATGTGAGAATGAATCCAGCATTGGTCAATACAGCTGACAAACCAGAGGAACTATTCAGCTTTTAGGTCTGGGGGTCACAAAAGCTAACAAAAGAGGCAGAGTACAATGCAAAAAACTACTTCTAGTATAATATCTATATTACAAATTCCACAGAGCTTGGTCTATGTCTAGTTAAATACTGTAACTCCATCACTCAACACTGTACCTAGAAAAGAGTTAAAAGTGCCAACTGTTCCAGCTTTGTTTTAGTTTCTCCATATGAACACTGATTACAAAGTCAATTTTCATCTCAAGAGCAGGTTGTGAGCTTGAAGGGGCAGTGGATGATTTTAGCAGTTCACATGGTTAAAGAAAAAAAGCATAGCTTTTTGTACTCAAGGAAACATGCTCCACTGTGTGAAAATCAGCTCTTCTACCTAATATCTGGCAGTCTTTGAGTGGGTTATTTAAACATACTGCACTTTGCTTTTCTTATCTGCATCACGGGAATAATGAGACTTTCTTCACGAACTTTGTAACATAGGTGTTATAAAGGAGGCACTCTCCATGTAACCTACCAGAGTCTCAGGGGCATTGTGGTAAAAGAGATGAAAGACTGGGGGTGGCATCAAACACTCTTCAAGGCCAGCAAGTAACATGCACTTGCTCACATGCTTTCTCTCTCTCTCTCTCTCTCCTTCTCTCTCTCATTCTCTCTCTCTCTCTCTCTCTCACACACACACACACACACAATCAAATTGTTTTCCAAAATTAAATTAAAAAGCCAACAAGCAGAGACCTAAGAGGAGAGAAGCTAAGTAATAAGAAGGGCTAAATTATGGTCTAAAGGAAGACAAAACTTATTACATTATATTATTATATAATGTGCACATGTTATATATTTATTTACTTTTTTTTAGTTTATTTATTTTGAGACAGAGAAAGTGGGAGCAAGGGAGGGGCAAAAAGAGAGAGAGAATTCCAAGCAGGCTCCACACTGTCAGCATGGAGCCTTACGTGGGGCTTGAACTCATGAACCTCAAGATTATGACCTGAGCCAAAACCAAGAGTTGGACACTTAACTGACTGAGCCACCCAGGTGCCCTCTCCTCCTTTTTTAAAATTTTTGAGACACACAGCGCGAGTGAACAAGGGGCAGAGAGGAATAGAGAGAGAGAGTCCCCTGAGGGGCAGAGACAGTGGGAGACAAAGAGGGAGCAAAAGAGACTCTTGAAGCAGGGATAGAGCTCACCCAATGTGGGGATCAAGCTCACAAACCCTGAGACCATGAATGACCTGAGTTGAAGTCAGATGCTTAACCAAATGAGCCACTCAGGTGCCCTATGTGTACTTATTATATAGAACCCAAAATATGTTGTTTGAAAAACTCCCTAAATGATATAACCTTTCCGGAAGATTAATGCCTGATGCTGTCGGTGTATAAAATGTAACACTATTTTAATGGAACTAAAAGGTCACTTTTCAGGGCACCTAGGTGGCTCAGTCGGTTGAGCACCCGACTTCAACTCAGGTTATGATCTCACGGTTTGTGGGTTCAAGCCTCACGTCAGGCTCTGTGCTGACAGCTCAGAGCCTGGAGCCTGTCTTCGGATTCTGTGTCTCCGTCTTTCTCTGACCCTCCCCTGTTCATGCGGTGTCTCTCTCTGTGTATCAAAAATAAATAAAACATTAAAAAAATTTTTAAATAAAAAATAAAAGGTCACTTTTTAGATATTCTGCTATATATATATTTAGATACATTTCGAGTATCCCTCTTGATCTTCTATATTACTGAGTTTCATCACATTTAAAATCCTTTATAAAAAAAGACTTTCTTTTATGATTTGGCATTTTTGAAAATTTTTTACTTGCCGGTTGGCAACTGAGTGCAGATGATATTGTCTCTTAAACATTAAAACCAAGATTATTATTGGAATTATACAAATCAAACCAACAAATTGCCTATAGGCCTAAATTGGTTTCTATAGCACTTTGAGACCTTGGCAAGAGAAACAAAAAATTTCACAATTAATTTCTATTCTCAATTCTATGAAATATGCATATAAAGTCCTTTTTCTACCATTTAAATCATAGGAAGCACTAAATAAGTGGCATTTAGTTAGCTATAGCCATACTGTATATTTTAATCTTCAAAAAAGCAATAAACACAAATTGACATGGATGGAGCTAGAGAGTACAACGCTAAGTAAAATAAGTCAGTCAGAGAAAGACAATGCTATTAGTATATGGTTTAACTCATATGGGGAATATAAAAAACAAAACAAACAATCATGGCGTGGGGGGCGGGGGGGAGAGACACACACACACACAAACTAAGAAACAGACCTTAACTCTCAAGTACAAACTGATGGTTACCAGAGGGGAGGTGGGTAGCAGGCAGGGATGGATTAAATAGGTGATAGGGATTAAGGAGCGTACTTGTGATGAACACCTAGTAATGTACGTAAGTGTTGAATCACTATATTTTACACCTGAAACCAGTATTACACTGTATGTTAACTATACTGGAAACAATAAAATAAAGCAACAAACACCACCGTATCTCATAAGCCACTGAAAATCACACTCTAAAGTTCTACTAAACAAGACTACAGACCTTCAGCAACACACACTTATCAATCAACCATAAACGTCCACTAGGCCAACTGTATCTGTCTCTGGAGCAAACAGTTAGAAAGCATTAAGACCAGAACATGCATAGAAAATAAAAAATCAGAAACACCACACAGATTTACGAACATTTTAAATTTTAACAAATTGTTTTATAGATTGTCCTTCTGACCCTGGATCTAGATACACCCTATCCCCCAGTTCACACTGCATAATGGTGCACTACAGTGCCACACTGCCTTATGGTGGTAAAGTATCAAACACCCCTCAGCTCAGAAGCCAAAGAGAGGTCTGCTCTCCACTAGAGGGACATCCAGGTGACCAGGCCAGGGAGGATCCTACTGGAACCCCAACCTCATTCTGCCCAGGAACGGCCCCCAACATTCACAACTCTGGTCATCTGACTGATGGATTAAGGACAGTTCAGGAAACTGTTTAACAAACTACCCCAACTTACCCGGAAATAGTCGCTGCATGCTGCGAGGACTGCCTTGTGAGCATGGAATTTCTGTTCCTCGGCAATCAGGGTGACATCGCAGAGGATGCCGTCACTTCTCTGTTGATTCAGCGCTGCCAAGACACTATCATTGTGAGATTCCGAGTGGCAGAGCCTCTGGCCTGTCAGCATTTCTTGAATACTACAAAAGAGAGCAATCGTGTCAACATGCTTCCTCTCCCCAGCCCCTGCTGCCCCTGGTACCCCCTCACTCCTTCACCACCCCCATAGGGAGCGCAGATCCCAGCACACCACGGGAATGTGTCCTTCGCGTTTCCGTTTCCCTCCATTCTACTATTCCTCTGCTCTCCTTTTCTCTAATTCTCTCTTTTCCTCACCCCCTCAGGGTGTCTTTCTCTTTCATACTAGTGCTTCTCTTTCTAGATCTGTGGGGTTTTGTGTGTCCATCTGTGTCTGTATAAGGCCCATGCCTGTGGCCCTGTGAGCCTCTGATTCTGGCCTCTGTCCCCTCTGAGTGCACAGCTTTCTCTGGATGTGTGTATATATGTGACTCTCTCCTCTCTGTGACCCCCTTCCTGAGTCTCTGATTCCTTCTCTAGCTTTGTACCACCCATGAGGGATTGGTGCAAGCTTAGCACATGATCACCACCATCCACTGATCTAGCACAGAATCCACAGGACCTACAAGACTCATCAGAGATACAGGAAGTTACTAAGTCTCCACAGAGGTCATGATACTATAATAAAAAATAAAACAAAACTGACTAAATGTTGATCAGAGACAAAAGGGATGCCACTGACTATTCCATGTAAACGGCAATGAATAAACAGCAAATGACTATTAAACTTGGGAAATCATGTATAATGGGGAATATCAAAAAAATCATAATAAGTGAAAAAAGAATCTAAGGTTGAAAATAAAAGATATCTATATTATCAGCCATCAATCTCTTTATGTGGTCATTGTAATAGATTTAGAAATGACCATACAGTTTTATTTGCTGTTCTAGTTTTTTGAAACTGCTAAATTTACTCATTGTGAAAGTTAGTCCTTCACTCCTTACCCTATTTTAAAATATTCATCCTATATCCTTTTAGAACTCATAGGTCCGGGGCACCAGGGTAGCTCAGTCAGTTGAGCCTCTGACTTCTGCTCAGGTCATGATCTCACAGTTTGTGAGTTTAAGCCCTGTGTAGGGCTCTGTGCTTACAGCTCAGAGGCTGGAACCTGCTTCAGATTCTTTGTCTTCCTCTTTCTCTGCTCCTTCCCCATTTGTGCCCTGACTCTCTCTCTCACTCTCAAAAATATAAAACAAACAAAAAACTCCTAGGTGAAACCCCAGATCTTCCCAAAATAACATGGAAGTAATGCCATACATTGAATATGTAGACACCTCTGAACAATTCTAGCCTAGATCTATGAATACAGTCTCTGCTGTGCTCTAATATCTCAGAACTGGCATCGGACCAGGATGGGCTAGGGGCACCAGTCACAAGTTACTCCCAGAATGAGAACAAGGGCCATCAATCCCTGTTTCTGGCCTTCAGACTCCTCTTGAAGCTGAGTGAAGATACCGTGGGGATGACTGAGGATCGTCTCTCCTATCCTGACAATTGCTGCATCCAATTCTTCCTTCCAAATGTGAAAGAACGGCTCAGGGAAGCCGGGGAGTCACCCCTGGCCTAGTGTGCATGCTAAGTTGAGTTAACAAAGCTCTGCCCAGCCTGCGGTGCCAGCTGGCTGGTAAACCGCAGGTCAACACAGACCGCACCGCTTCAAGGTGAACCAAATGCTCCCCATGAAATGCAGAGTACAGCTTGTAAGCTTTATTGGACATTTCTGACTGGGGAGCCTCAGAAACATCAGAACTTCTGAAAGAAAAAAAAAACTTGACAGGAGGTGATGATATAGGAAGTTCTCGTGGGAAGGTGGGAGGATTATTTTCAGTTGAAATGCAGCAGTGAGTTTTGAAATGGTTACTGTCACCGAATCTTCATCTAGCAGCTCTAGCTATCGGCAGACATTTAAAGTCAGTAACTGAAAACCACATTCAGAAGCCTAAGTAACTTAACACAAATTTCTATGCAAAGCCTAGAATGGAGATGAATTAGCATTACTCAATTAAAGAAATGAGGAAATACAATAGTGATAGAAATATTACATCAGCTGAAGTAAAGCTTTAGGATAATTTTTGAAAAATCTTTCCTTAAAGGATGACATTTTTATGCATTTTACAGTCTTCCTATGTTCCGTGAATGGTTCTTAGTGATTTATAATTATTAATTCACTTAATCATCATAACAACCCTAGGAGACAGGCACTATTATTAACTCTATTCTACAGATGAGAAAACCAAGGTCCAAGATCATGCATTTTGAGAACCTATTGCCAAAAACGCAATGATGTAATTCAGCCTCCTGCTTAAAAAACAAGATAAAGATAAAACAAAACAATACAAAACAACAAGGTGCGAAGATCTAAAAAAAACCTGTAACTGCAGGGGTAAAAAGTCACAAAGCCTATCCTAACTTTATATTTATATTATGCATAGTTATCTTAAAATCAAAGCTGCCTTTTAAAAAGAATACACATGAAGATAATAACATGAAATAGTGATAAGAAATATCTAAAATCAGGCTTCAAAAATATTTACCTTTGCACTGCAACTAAGATAAATTTGGGGATAGAAAAACAGATTCCAATTACTACTTATTTAAAATACTCATAGACCATTTATTTGATACATTCATTTCTCTCTTTTAATATCACCTAAAATGCTAAGTAAATGTATTTTAATATTTCATTTGTATAACAGTAGAATATGTAAAAATAATTGCCTTCAAGTGTTTCCTTACTCATTTCCCAAATGTAGTGCCACAATTTATGTCCTTATCAAGACTGAATCAGTATTTGCATTTCAGATATCTATTGACAGTGAATACATCTTGCCAGGGAAAGAGCAGCTGTAAACCGAAATTTGGCAAAGGATAAAGGGCTCAGCTCTGAAACAATGGTGATGCTGCATAATTTCACAGGATCATTCAGCTGGGCTTGAAATACTCAAGCTTAAAGAAAACAACATGCTAAATATTTAAAGCAACACTTGGCACAAGATTCCAAATATTTTGGAACCAATATGTTAGGAATCTTTAAAAGCAGAAACAAATACTCCAACATTTGGCAAGAAATAAAGGCCTATTAATCAACAAGTCTTTATTGTATTCTGAAAGTAACTTCCCACTCAACTCTCAGATATGAACCTGCAAGAGACTTCAACCCTCTAAATGTTAAGGCACGAATGGCCATAGAACACAGCTGGAAAGAGGCAGGCCCTTCTGATGAAGTCAATAATCATTAACAAGGAAGGAGGTGAATCAGAGACCATAAAGTACCAGGTCTGAATTAAGACGGGGAGCAGATATATGCTTGCAAATGGCCACACTGACATCTATAATTTATATCAAGTTGGCCCACTAAGCTTCCCAACAATGCCCCTCCATTATGTGGGAAAACAATGAAGAAGGAAGGAAAAGAATATTCCCAAAACTTTCTAAATTACTGGGGGGAAAAAACAAAACATGAGACATATTTCAAGGTCTTCCGTGGAAGCAACGTTGCCACCTTAAAACTCACAGGTAAATGCAGAAGGTGACCTGGATTCTCCAGGGCAGCCCCAAAAGTCTTTCCTCTAGAAAGACAGAGGATCCCCTAGAACTACACTGTCCAATACAACAGCCACGAGCTACAGGCAGTTACTGACCACTGGAAATGTGGGTAGTCCAAACTGAGGTGTGTTGTAAGTGTAAAATGCTCTCGATGTCAGGTGTAGTATGAAAAAAGAATGCAAAATATCTCATCAATATTTTTTTTAAATGTTTTATTTCTAGGAGAGAGAGAGAGAGAGACAGTGTGAGCAGGGGAGGGTCAGAGAGAGGGAGTCACAGACTGAAACAGGCTCCAGGCTCTGAGCTGACAGTCAGCACAGAGCCCAACGCGGGGCTCGAACCCACGAACCGCGAGATCATGACCTAAGCAAAAGTCAGACGCTTAACCGACTAAGCCACCCAGGAGCCCCTCTCATCAATATTTTTATACTGATTACACATTGATACAATAATACTTGGGGTATACTGATTTAAAATATACTAACTATATTTATTTTACCTGTTTCTTTTTACTTCTTTTAAATGTAACTACTTGAGAATTTTAATTATATATATGGTTCGCCATATGTTCCTCTTGGACAGCGTACAAGTTCCCAGGGGACATGTCCCTCATTCCTTTCAACCTGAATTCTGTAAGTTCTACATGGCACAGCCTCTGCAGGCACAACACGGGAAACCCCCACACTCTCTGAGAGGCAGACTGCTCCTTCGTGATGACAGGATGCGACCGTTTGATTGGCCATATGTCAGCATTCAGTAACAGATAAATAAATGAGGTCTCACAGCACAGGACTATTCATGACATCAAGTCTGTAATGATCATTCTAGATTTGACAGCAAAAACTAGAAATCAAATGCCGAACAGGATGCTGATAACATGGCACACCTACTCAGAGTGAAGCTCTACCATAGTGCAAATCACGATTTGTAGTTGATAGTGTTAACATGTTTGATCAGAGAACTCTCACTGGGTCTCATTTTCATAAAGTAAATTTCGACTGAGTTTACTAAGTTTTTAAGATGTAAATTCCACAACAGCTATCTGGTTTTTAAACATTTGCATTTCAAATTTTAAAATTCAAGTCAATTTCTCTATCAGCGCTTACCTCCTATTTAGATATACAAAAGATATGCAAGTAGTTTTCAAGTGAGGCTACCAATAAGATATCGCAAGCAGTCATGAGGCATAAAGAGTTTCATTTCTTAAACAGACTACACAAAAAAGAAACAACTGGACCAAAAAAACTAACAGTACTAGAATTATTCATGACTACCTCAATTCAGTCTATTGATGAATTATCAGGTGAGTACCCTAATCACTTTAATTCCATGGTCAAAATATTTCTATGCAAATTAAATACATTAATATTAAAACAGCCCTATTAATTTAAGTGAGCGGGCTATTAATAACTCCATAATGGAATTTAATTTTCTTGTTTATACAACACTTTATAATTTGTAAATACTTTAAAATGAATGCTAAAACAATCATGATTATTAGAAGAATGTTGAGAGTGTTTTGAGAATACATATCACGCACCCCAAAGCGACTGCTTTAAAGGGTGAACAGTCATAATTACCATAAATATAGTTTTCTGATTCTTTTTTAAATCATAAGAAGTATTCCTTATTTTAGATATGCCAAATTAAAAAAAAAAAAGATAGTAAGTAGTATCATTCAGAGAACCATGAGATGTATCTAGGTTTGACCCATAAATAGATCACAGTGGTTAAACCATGTGCTAGGACACTAAACTCACACACACTCTAGCTGGTTTACTTAATTCCTTCAAATATGTGTTGAGCCTTGCTCCGCACTCAGCCCTGGGATGTGCAGGGTGACTATTTCGGGGCTCACTACACCAAACAAGGAAGCATCCTACAGGGCCAACCTCAGGCAGCGTTCAGACGGCATTCTCCAGCTGGGTTCCTCAGGATCTCAGCCTTAGCAGTTTGCAAGCATTCCAGCTGAATAAAGAGACAAGAAAGAAAAGCACAGTGAGCTAAAGGCAAAAAAAAAAAAAAAGAAAAGAAAAAGTACACTCTGGGCCTTCATGATGTGAATGCTTTAGAACCCCAGGAGCACCTAGGGGAGTTTTATAGTCCAGATTCAACATTTTGAGTGAATGCTCTTTAATAAGTAATGGTCTGGCATGTTTTTTTATGTTTTTTCCCCCCATTGGAATTTCAGGAAAATGTGTCTGAAAACCAGTAATAGCTAAATTAAGAGTTACAGTACATCAGATGGCCAAAGGGAAAAATCAAAATTTAATAAAATAAAGCTACAAAAGGTCTAAACCACAAATACTAGTTGATTTGTCCTTTACAGAAATTTTACTTTTCTTCCAAACATGAATATTAGTGAAATTAAGTTAAAATCGAGTATGTCTCGGCTAAGTATCTACTGAAAGATAATTTTCTATCAAGGAGAAGATTTCTTTTTTTTTTCTATTTTGCCTACTTGTTTTATTTTATTTTATTTTTTTTTATCAAGGAGAAGATTTCTGAAAAACTGATGAAAAAACTACATCTAGAGAGTGAAAATTACTAGGAAATGGAAAACAGATTCTTACAGCAGCTTTAGGATTAGCACTTGGAAATATACAATAGAATGAAGTTGTCAGGCTTGAAATAGTTCCTTGGTTATATACTCATTTAATCCCACCCTCCCCCCTACCCTGTGACCACCCTCCCACACTTTGTTCTCAATCGCTGATATGACTCTAAACAGACAAGTAAATTATCTGAATAGTCTGGGACGTGGTCCATGACTACACTTTATAACTCTCATTAGAGGGTCTAGCTCCTGTTTTCTAATATATTCAAGTTGTAAAATTAATTCCAATCTGGATCATCTTAAACAGGCTCCCTTCTGTCTCAATTTTATTTTGAAAAGTGATAACAGGGTAAAAATATCAAACTGCACCTATTTATGCTGATTTGTATAAAAGAGGGAGCTATGATTTCCAACCTAACTAAAATATAGTATTTGTTATATTATATACAAACCTACAGTTGGTATGGCTGTATAGTAATTCATGTGGATATATCATAATTTCTTTAAATATTCCATTGTTCCTGAACATCAAGTTGTTTTGAACATTTTCATACAATTATAATTTTTTACTTCTGGGTTTCTTTAATTATTGAAAATAGAATGTCTAGACTTTCATTTATTTCTAATTTAAGTTTTGACAAACCTAAAAATGAGCATCATTTTCAACTGATCCAGTATGAGCAGGACAGAGGCTAAGAATAATTCAAGGCATATTGTTTAATTAGCTGAAGATTTTCCTAGCAACCTATCACTGCTACCGTTTCTCTCCAGAATCTAGGTTATAAACTCCAGGCTCTTACAGGCTAATGCAAACAGTAACGGAGATGGACACTTGAGCTTTACAATGGCAAAAGAACCTTTATTATTACAGCGAGGGGGGGAAAATCCTTAATTTTCTGACAGTCTTATAAATGCTCCCAATAATGAGACAAATGGAGAACAAGAATCTTAAAAGTTAAAAGAATCCAAAATTAAAGGACACATTTAACTTGATATTTTTCAGATTCCAAACATAATTAAAAATCATAAGATAAATTAAATTCCCTTGCTGTTTGGAGACCAACTCACTAAATTAGCTCTCCTCAGAAATTATCTAATTAGAATATGCTATACGCTACAAAGTTTAGTGAAATGGATACCATTTTAAAGGTGAATTAAAATGACCTATATAATTCATTCTTGAACCTTAACTGTGATACATGCCATGGGTTCTAAGCAGTTTCCTCATGTAAAAATAGTAACACCTACCTCATAGTGTTGATGTGAGGATTAAACAAATTGCAATTCTCAGAAACTACCTGTCCCATGATGTTAGCTGTTATTATTATTGTTGTTGTTTCATTGTTACTTATGATTATTGTTTTAAAACAGCAGAGAACTTGGCTCATCCTGTGTAATCATGGAAGGAAAGGGACTTCCCTGAGGATAGATATCCAAGTTGATCTCTAAAAGATAATTATTACCTGGGGGAGGGGTGGGAGGAAGAGTGGTTGGGAGGTACCCTGGGCAGAGTCAAAAGCCTGTGCAAAGGTCCTAAGGCAGAGAACAGCAGGGCCTATTAGAGGCCAAAGGGTAGACCACACAAGCAGTATTAAGAATATGGGTCTCAGGGTGCCTGGCTGGCTCAGTGAGGGGAGCATGTGACTCTTGATCTCAGGGTCATTAGTTTGAGCCCCATGTTGGGTGGAGAGATTACTTAAAAAAAAGAGAGAGAATATTGGTCTGTATCCCAAAATCAGTGGGAGTCCACAGAAGGTTTTAAATAGAGAGACTTGCATGATGAGATCTGCATTTTAGAAAGATCTCTCAGGCTGTGGTTTGAAGTTTATTGGAAAGAGGCCAGAGTTCCCAAAGGAACAAAGGGAATTTCCAACTCTTTGGCTGACCCTGTAATGGTAATCACCATTCAATTTCAAGCAACCAGCCTTTTCCTAACATCAAAACCCCTCTGTTTCCTGTCTGAGGGATGGCATCTACTTGTCCTCATTAGGTATTATCCTGACCAACCAGGCCAAGTACTTGTCCCCCGGGTCTTATACATGGTTAGTACTAACTCATTAGTTAGTTGACACTGAATTCTCTGTTCAGGTGGGTTCAACTCTCCCCTTCAGTGGTTGATAAGTTCAATAACGGTGTCTAAGGAGAAATCTTAAGGAGGGAGAAAGAGAGACTGAGAGTCAAGTTCCCCAACTCACTCGACCCCAAGTAGTCTCCTCACATGCATGAACTTGGTATTTTTGTAGAGTGCACACCTGGTATTGTACCTGCCGGGTCTCCCACAAGGTTCTGTTGGCAATCAACCACCTCCCATCACCAGGTCTTACCTGACTGGTCTAAGAATCTGGACCTAATGCAAGCTAAGCCAACCAGAGCCCTTCTCTGAGATTTGGAATTGGAATCACCAGTCTCCAGATCAACTGGACTGCTTACTTGCAAAGAGAAAACAATACAGGAAATGATGTTTGTGGATTTTTTATGCTAATCCTATCTCTACTTAAAATTTTGATATTTTGGGGCACCTGGGTGGCTTAGTCGGTTAAGCGTCCGACTTTCGCTTAGGTCATGATCTCGCGGTTTGTGGGTTCGAGCCCCGCGTCAGGCTCTGTGCTGACTGCCGGCTCAGAGCCTGGAGCCTGTTTCAGTCTGTGACTCCCTCTCTCTCTGACCCTCCCCTGCTTGCGCTGTCTCTCTCTCCTAAAAGTAAATAAAACATAAAAAAATAAAAATAAAAATAAAATAAAATTTTGATATTTTGTTTATCATCAGCTTGAAATATTACATTAAAATATTTATTTTGAGAAGATGTGGTATATGTATACAAAGGAATATTACTCAGCCATAAAAATAATGAAATCTTGCCTTTTGCAATGATGTAGATGGAGCCAGGGAGTATTATGCTAAGTGAAATAAGTCAGTCAGAGAAAGACAAATACCAACTGAAGGGCTTATTAATTTCAACCATCAGATTATATCAAGTTAATATGTCTTTTCTTTTTAAGTTTATTTATTTACTTTGAAGGGGAGGGGCAGAGAGAGAGAGAGAAAGAGAATCTCAAGCAGGGCTCCCCACTGTCAGTGAAGAGCCCAATCTGAGGCTCGATCCCATGAACCATGAGATCATGACCTGAGCTGATATCAAGAGTCAGACTTTTAACCAACTGAGATATGCATGCACCCCTCAAATTAATATGTCTTAAAATGAGGGGTGCATGGGTGGTTCAGTCTGTTAACCATTCAGCTTCGGTTCAGGTCACAGTTTCATCTCACAGTTTGTAAGTTCGAGTCCCGCAACTGGCTGGCTGCTGTCAGCATGGAGCCAACTACAGATCCTCTGTCCCCCTCTCTCTCTGCCTCTCTCTCACTCTCTCTTTCTCAAAAATAAATAATTAAACATTAAAAATATATATATATATATAAGTAAATGTTACTTGGAAGCATAAAATAATTAGAATACATGCAACAGTCCCAATCATTATTTTATTTATGTATTACATATGGTGATAATTTATCTTTAATTCTTATTATTTCATAAATTGAAATATTTCATATTTCTAAAACCAGTAAATTAGTATACTTTTCACACCAGTACATCACTGTATGGTGTCTAAAAAATGACATTAGAAATCCCTTTAGTCTAAAAGACAAACATTTAAGACTACCCCACTAGCATACTTTCCTACATGGAATATTCACCCCTGAAGTTTAACAAGGATGCTTGTTCCCTTTCAGAGAGTAAAGATAACTAATCTCTCCCAGCAATAAAAAGAAGTGAGATGATCTAATTGTAATAGAAAAAAAGCTTCAATGTGTGATTAGTTTAACACGTAAATAAAAATTTAGCTCCAAAGAACAAAATTGCCCCATTTTTACAAAACCCTTTTAGTATATAAAAGACTTATGGAACATATTCCTGAGATCATAACCTTAAGACCTTTCTATTAAACAATCGCAATGATGTTTTAATTAAAAGTAATTTGAAATAGGGACACCTGGGTGGCTCAGTCCATTAAGTGTCCAACTCTGGATTTCAGCTCAGGTTATGGTCTTACAGTCCATGAGATCAAGCCCTGTGTCAGCTGTCAGCACAGAACCACTTAGGGTTTTCTCTCTCCCTCTTTCCCATCCTCCCATCTCAAAATAAATAAATAAACTTAAAAAAAAAATTCACAGGTGTCTGGTTGGCTTAGTCACTTTAGCATCCAACTCTTGGTTTTGGCTCAGGTCATGATCTTACAATTGTGAGATTAAGCCCTACACCAGGCTCCATGGGGACAGCAAAGAACCTGCTTGGGATTCTCTCTTTCCCTCTCTCTCTCTCTCTCTCTCTCTGCTCCTCCCATGAATGTATGTGCTCTCTCTCTCAAATGATAAATTTTAAAAAATAAATAATAACTCAAAACAATAACCATTT